CCGTCTTACAGCTTCAGATTCTAGTCCTCCACTGGTTCCCTCCCTTCAGCCCATGATCATGCTCAAGCAATCCCTTTGTCCCTCACAATTCTACTGAAAGAAGCAACGCCCAGGACCTCCTAAATGGCCAGATTGAATGACGCTTCCTCAGCCTTCATCCTCCTTGATTTCTCTGCAGCCGTAGAACAACTGACTGTGCAGTCTTCAGTTATTGATACATCCATCATTTTTGCATAGTTTATGATCACACAGCATATAAAATTTTTGTGCCCTCAGTTCTTCACATAACATAAGCATTTCCCATGTTGTTATGAACGCTTCACTAAGTGGCATTTTTAATGACTATACTTTTCTACCCTGGGAGTCTTCAATAATTCATCTAATTCTACCCCTTGTGCTGGACATTGGGTTTGGTTCCATTTGTTATTACAAGGAATAATCTCATAAACAACCAGGCATGTGTGTGTGTGTGTGTGTGTGTGTGTGTGTGTGTGTGTGGGAAGACGGGGGTGTGGGGGGTGGGGAGTGTGGGGGGGTGTCAGTTATAAAGCAGATGGACTTCCCCACCAATCCTCTGTTGGAGGCAAAGGTCAGGTCTCCTGCAGAGGAGGAAGATGATGCAGGCAGTTGAACCAAGCTGGTGGTAGTGGGAGGTATTACGAGTAAGAACATAGGCTTTTAAACAGAAAGCAACGAAGGAACAAGACAAACAAATGAAGAAACAAAAACTCATAGACACAGAAAACAGTTTAGTGGTTACCAGAGAGTAAGGGGGGAGGGGAGATAGTAGAAGAGGGAAAAGGGGGTCCAATATATGGTGATGGAAGGAGAACTGACTCTGGGTGGTGAACACACAGTGTGATATATAGATGATGTATTACAGAATTGTACACTTGAAACCTATATAATTTTACTAACCTAGGTCACCCCAATAAATTTTTAAAAAAAGGGGCGGCTGGTTAGCTCAGGTGGTTAGAGCTCAGGGTGCAGTGCTCATAACACCAAGGTTGCCGGTTCGATTCCCAAATGGGCCACTGAGCTGCACCCTCCACAACTAGATTGAAACAACTACTTGACTTGGAGCTGATGGGTCCTGGAAAAACACACGGTTCTCCAATAAAATTTCAAAAAACAAAACAAACCCCCCCAAAAAAACCCCAAATCAACAAACTAAACTTTATCAAAATTAAAAATTAAAAAAATAAAAAGTCCATAGGCTTTTAAATCTGGCTCCATCACTTCTATGTAACCTCAGGCAATTTCACCAGAGCCATTTGTAAAATTGGGATCACAGAACATTGATTTTTCTGATTAAGTGAAAGGAGGCACATAAGGTTCTGAGGATGGCACCTGGCACATGAGGCATACTCAGTGACTGTGAGATAAAAGTAATCATCGTGAACATCATCTTTATGCCCATAGCTTTTCCTAAAAGCGGAAAACCTCATTCATTCAAGCATGCACACATCAAACGCTTATTGAGCCCTCACTGCTCCCTGTGCTCTAGAAACTCTTGGTCAGCAGGGGAGACAGAGAGTTAATGAGCTGTTACAAGTCACTGTCAAAGGTGCCCAGTTGGATTTGCTGCAAAGGTTTCTCAGAAGAGGAACTGAATTTGGAAGGTGCTGGTGAGCGAAGCAGACAGCGACACAGGCAGACATTTCAAGCAGGGGGAGTCTTGTGTGCCAAGGCATAGGGACTGCACTGAGGACAGCAAGGAGTTCGGTGGAACAGGAGCCACGGTAGGAGTGGGCCGGCAGGGGGCAGGCAGGGGGCTGGGCGACGATGCAGAGTTTGAAAGTGACTCCAGAGGGTTCGGGTAGAGAATGGCCTGACTGGTTTTTCTCTGTGCGATTTTAAAGACTGGAACTGCTGGGTCTAGTGCTCTGAACATTTCTAAGGCATATTGACAAATAGCTTTTGAAGAGAGATGGGTCATTTTTACCTCCACCTGCAACAACTGCTACTCTCACCATACTTTCTTCCAGAAACCCCCTCTTGCTCAGAATCTCTCTTCCTGTGGTTCCTGATGCCAGCTCTTCTGTCTCCTCCTCCCTGCAATGGCTCTGTCTCAGGCCCCGCTGCTTCCTCTCCCTCCTTGATCAGATGCGTTCCCCAGCGTTCTGTCTTGGCCGTCTTCTCTCTCTCGGTAAAGCCCTCACTGCCTGAGCTTCAACACCACTTCCGAGCAGAAGACTCCTGGTCCATCCTCTACACAAACCTCCAGCCACCCAGACACTTCCCCCGGAAACCCACAACCATCTCAACCCCTGCAGGTATTTGCCTCATGACTGTCCTAAGAAATATCTCCTCCTCCTGACATCCCTAACTATGTCCATGGCGTCACCCTGCTCTCAATCATCCAGATGCTAACTTCCATGTCATCCTTGGCTCATCCTTCTTCCCCACAATCCCCAGGACAGTCCTTAATTCTCACCTCCTCCATACTCTCTCCAGATTCTGCCTCCTTTTCAAATACTGCAGCTCTAATTCTTTGCCCAGGTACTTAGGGTGACCTGAGAATTCAGCTACCTGACTCCAGCCTCTCTCTCATGGGTACAGAGTCCCATGGGCACTGCTGGCATACCCAACTTCCTAAAATACCACCCTTGATCCTGTCATCCCCACTTAAAACCTTCACTGGGGTATAAACCCCTGACCTATGGCTCCCAAGCCACCCTCTTCCCCCCCACCCCGCCCCTCCAGCTTTGTTCTATTGCCCAGCAGGCTCCTCCATGCCTTCTACACCTCAGCAGACTGAATTACTTGACATTTCTCATTTTTCACGAATCAGAAAACTCCTTGAGAGGCAAAACTATCACTTAAAATCTTTCTAACTCCCCCCAAAGCATAATGTTGTATGTATAGGAAGTGCTAAATAAGTGTTTTATGGGCCATAATATGCCTGTTTTCAAGGCATATGCAGGAAGGGAGATTAGACAGGGGACAGGCAGGTAACAGCAGTGTAAAGTGGGTGACTGGGGCCGCGTAGAGATCATGGGGTAGGTGTGGCTGTTACACAGGAACTGGCTATCAGGCATGGATCCCTGAATAGACAGTCCACCCACCACCCTACTGCACAATCACTATTTGCCTGGGTGCAGAAATGGGTTTCAGGTTGTTCTAAAACACTGTGGGGTAAGATTGTGCAATGTGGGTTAAATGTGGCCAAGGGTCCCCAGTCACAAACTTTGACTTAGGCCAATCCTGTGTGCTGGCATTCCAAGACAATTGGCTGGGTCTTTGGACTCAGTGGGGTTGAGGGGAGTGTTAGAGAAGCAAGGGAGAGGGTTTAGATTAAGAAAGAGGTCCTTAACAAATTAAACTCTCTAAAACCTAAACAAGCAGCTACACAAATCGGGGAGCATCCCACTTCTGGAATTGACATAATGAGTGGCTGACTGACCACCTGGAAGGGAGGTGACAGCGGGACAGGATACAAAGTGGGTAGGGACAGCCATCAAGGCTCCTTCTGGCTCTGGGATTCTCAGATTCTCTGTCCATTCAAGCTCTTCTCTAGAAAACTCTTCCATATCAGTTTTCCTCATTGCACCTCATACCCAGTTAGTATTTAATAAATATTTGTAGCGTGAGGCACTTGATGATAGGGGTGCTCATGCCTGTGTATTTTTGTTTGGGGGGGGATTTTACTTTAAATAATTAATCAACAATTTTCTCTGTCCTCCAAAGTATCTTCCAAGAATAGTTTTGTTCAAGAATTTTCTTCTACCTCCAGTAAGTCGAAGACAAAAGAAGCTCTGTTGGATAGCTGATGGCTCACATTTTCACTGGTAAAACTATTCTAGAACAGTGGCTATTCAAACTCTGTCCATGTAGAACTTTAGTTAATGAAAATGCATTAGAGGGGAATATACCGTTTGGTTCGTTTGTATTTTCACTGTTACTAATTAAACAAAGCAGAAGAAAAACTTTGCTTAAACCATTGCAACACTTATTTACAACAATTGTTTAAATCTACAGCAAAAGTGTCTCTAAATATAAAGGGAGGGCACGTGTAAGGGTAAATGGATGGATTCTAGTCTCATTCATCTGAAGATTGGGAACCGTGGATGTCCCCCATTACAATGCAGGAGGATCCAGCTTTATGGTTATTCAAATGGATATTTTTCATAATGACCAACACTTTAACACTTTTTATCCAAATACTTAATCAGGCTCATTTCTCAGGAGGTTCTGGACACCCTGTGGGAATGCACCGTTCCTAGATAAGGGGTGGAGCACTCGGCCCAGTGGAAGAGGAGGTATCAGAGGAATGCTAGAGTGACTCCCGGAGTCAGGTTCTGTGTGTGAAAGGTGCTTTATAAACTATGAAACAGCACTGTATAAATGTTAGGTGAAGAGCCTGAGGTTGCACGGCAGGATCCCTGAGTTCCCAGAAGCTCTCAACTTCTACTACAGGTGAGGCCTGGGCCGCACGTCCCGGCATGTGCCGCTTTCAGCGGCAGATGAACTTAAACGCACGTGCAGGTATTTTGAAGATTTAAGAATTCTAGACATCATCCCGAATACTGCGGCCCTAAACTTCTAGGTCAAATTGTTCAACAGGCTCCAGGAGGGTCGGGAAGATTATGGATACTATAATTCGCCCGTGTCTGAGATTTCTACGTTCCCGCCAGCAACTCTGATTCCACTTGTGGCTCAAGTGGAAGGGGTCGAGGGGCGCCGGAGACGCGGTTAACACGAGACCCCTGGGCACCTGGAGCTCGGGTCCGGAGAGGCAGCCCCTCTCACTCGGTCTTCCCATCACGAGGGGACCCAAGCTCGCCAAGCTCTCGGGGCGCGTTTCCCGTGGACACGGACCCAAGCCCTCGGAGGGAGGGCGACGCTCCCCATGCCCCATCCCCGGGCCCTCCGCGGCCCCTCCCCGCGGCGAGCGCGCCAGGTGCACAGGTGTGGCCGGGCACCAGGTACAGTGAGCATTAGCGCCGGGCCGGGTTCCCTCCCGCGCGCCCTCCCTCAGGTCGGGCCACCAGGCCTACCTGCGTGTACAGCTCGGCCACCGCCATGGGCGAGAGAGCCTGGGCAGTTCAAGGACCGCGAGGGGGCAAGGCTCGGGGGCTGCGCCTGCGATTCTGACGCCCCGGGGCAGGTAGCTGCAAGCGGGCGCCGCATCAGTCAGCGCTGGGCCACCTTGCAGAGTTTGTCAGCGTCCCACAAACTTTCCCGAGGCCTGGCGGAGCAGGGAAAGCGCGGATTGGTCTCCCCCTGCCCCGCCTGGCGAGTCCTCGCCGCGATTGGCTGGGGCTGGGGCGGGGGTGGGGGCGGGTCG